ATGATGGAAGATCTTTGCTTTCCTCAGGAGCAAATCATTCCTTGACAAAAAGCCAGAATGATGAAGAAAATAAAGTTGGTCCCATAATAACATTTAGGCTGCAGGAAAGAAGCTCGACAAAAACAGGTTATCCCCTGGTACTCCCAAACTTTGTTTTAATTTCCCACAGTGGCACAGAAAGTCTCCTGGCCACAAGTTACCTATCATCTTAATTTCTCCTTCTTAGAGGGTTTGTGTTTGGTTTTTGTCCTTAATGAGACATATTTGCCAAAGAGGCATTCAAAAGGCATTTTTTACTCTTGCGGAAGAGTAATTAGGTCGGTACCTCTTTCCCTGCCAGCATTAGCCGCTCTAAAGAGAACCCTGCCCAGTATTTAATGCCCAAACACAAGCATCATTTCCACTAATTGGTCTTGAAGTTCCGATGTTCCCAAAGGGTCTCTTTATTTTGCAAGGATCAGAAAGGACATACGTAAAATGTAATATCGTCATCACTGACTTTTCTCTCTCTCATCTGCACTATTACGGTTGTCCTTTCTTATGTTTTTATAATCAACATGAACACAACACCAACAAGGGAGGAAAATAAAGGGTTTGTATTTTTACAACAGAAGACATCTCTGGGCCAAGCTCAAATGTTGTGATAGCCATATTTATAAATATGAACAAGAATGTAAATATATGACATATATTTGATTCCCTTGATGATGGGATTCCTTTTGCTGACAGTTTTCAGTGCATGGGGAAAAGGATAATGCTGCTTTAGCATGTGGACTGTGAAATGCAGGGCAAGGGGAAAAAAAAGAAAGAACCATTCATCAAGGAGAAGCTGGAAATAGAGCATATACTACTAACCTTGTTTTTTTTTTTCTCTTCCACAGCCTGAGAAAGGCTTCTGGACAAAATATCACCTAATCTCATGATAGAAAGCAAAGCAGATGATAAAAATGGGGTAGGTATGTGGCAGAATTATTTTTACACATCCTTTTTGCTCTCCAAAGCCCTGGAATGGCTTTATTAACTGTCAGGAAATTTCAAATTCTTTGACAATAATGACCAGCCTACATCAATGTCCTTACAAATGTGGCCAAACAATTATTAAGCAGCATTTTAACCATTTATATTCAAATTGGCCCAATAAATCAGCGTTGAAGGATAAGCTACCTACTCCTTCCTCTGAGTTCAATTCCCTGTTAGCTATTCTCTTGTTGATTTGTAACTTGAAAAGTATAGCTCTAAGCTCTATCACTTCCCAGTGTTTTATCCAAGTGATGGACAAGCTCTGGCTGTAGCCTTCTTTGTGTTCTTTTCGGAATGTTTCTTTCTTAAAAGAGCCATTTTCCATTGTAGAAACGAGTGTCAAAAGGCTGAGGTGAATGAAGAGGAGGAAGAGAATGTTAAAGAGACCCTTTCAAAACCAAAATTATATGTTCAAATGAATATGTTTTCTGTGCCACAGCAATATTGACCATGTAGAAGCTAAACTGCTTGTCAGCATCTATACTGTGTGTTTACTTTTACACTTCATTTAGGTGGGAGCCAGGCTCCCAGACAGAGTAGTTTGTTTACTGGTTGTATTTTTGAGTCTTTGAGCACCAGCACAAGGATGCAGTGTTAGATGCAATGACACTGACTAGGGAAAACTTAAATAATAAACATCTGTTATACACCTCAGTCTCTCACAAAATTCAGTAGATTTTCTTTTTCCTCCAAATCTTGCATGGACCTCCCTCTAACCAAACCCAAACTGTCTTTAAAGGCTTCCCTATAAAGTTAATTTTAAATCCCATTCAACATTTTAATGAAGAAGGGTTTTTTGTTTTATTTTGTTCTAATTTTGTTTACATTTCTTTGTTGCCTCTTGCAGGAGCCAAACACAGGCACAGCGCTTTTACTGCACTTTCTCTAAATAGCTTCCCAAGTATCTGCCATTCAACAACCGGGAGAATTGGAAATGACATGCCTCATCGTATGGCGTGTGCACATGCCTCACCCTGCAAAACTCCGTTTCTGGGGGTGGCAGCCTCAAAATAACGCAAGTCAGGATTGTGAAACACTGTGATGCCATCTCAAACAGAGACTCCTCCAGTGTGTCTCTAGACAGGGCTACACCCAAAGGCAGTGGCACAGGTGACAGTAGCATTTGGGGAAGTGATTCAATCTGTTTCACAGATTCTGAGTGACCCTCAAGTGCCACCACAGCCGCGAACGCCCGCCCTTGCTACACTTGGAGACAGAAGGAGACCTAAACTCAGTGCAAGCTGTGTTCACCATGCTTCCATCCATCACACACCCAGTCCAGCCTTATCTCTGGACATATGGGTTCTTGTGTTGCTTCTTCTCCTGGCAGCTATTATATAAGTCATAAAAGCAAACATAATAATGTCAGTCATGCACTTGGTCACTAATCAAATCAGTAGACAGAAACAATACAGGAGAAGAATACACGAACCGTGTGCAAAAAGGAAAACAAATTACTCATCCTTCTCAGTCTCTCAGCGTAGGGATAACGAAATATTGCGACACAATGAAACACTATACATTGGTGAAAAAATAAACAAATGATCAAGTTTATTAGAGGCATTTGTTTCCTTTTCCCTTTTTATTTCAATAAGCTGCTTAATAGGAGAAACGACCTCACTTAATATTTGTGGGTAACATCAACCCCCATATTTTATGTGAGAATATACATGCATACAGGTAAAATTCTCCAAAGCAGTGCCTTTTCTTTTATAGGCAGAAGTCACTTGTCTTTGCAAAAAGTAAGAGTTTAATATGCTGAGACCAAATAACTGACATTGCCCTGTTATCTCCTAACACCTATGAAATACAGGTATAGATGAGGGAACTTCCTAATTCATAACATGCCTGACATACTTGTGCGTGCACACCCCACCCTCCTCCAAATTCTCTACCCCCAGAACAAAATGTGAACATTTCACATTCAGCGTATGCATTTGTGGAAATGAAATGATCATCTCAGTATGTCCTTCCCACATCTCCCATTCACCCCATGTACATAATATAAAGTGAGTTTTTACTGTTAGAACTTTGAGCATCGTTTCGAACTATTATAAAGAAATTTTCACTTACTAAGAAGAGCTCTTACTATGTTCCTGTCTTTAGGACAACAAATGCCAACCTTCTGCAGGTTGCTCTCAATAACAAAGACATGTACTGTAGGAACACTTCCCTAATCCACCATGAGTATTCTCGTCTTGAACACTTATTTGATTTTCAATGGAAGGATCCTACTCTGGATTCCTTGCTACTAGAAATTACTTCTTTTCCATTCCTGGTGCATAGATTTTTTTTTAAATTTTTATTTTATATTGGAGTACAGTTGATTAACAATATTGTGCTAGTTTCAGGTGTACAGCAAAATGATTCAGTTATACAAATACGTGTATCTATTCTTTTTCAAATTATTTTCCCATTCAGGTTATTACAGAGTGTTGAGCAGAGTTCCCTGTGCTGTCCAGTAGGTCCTTGTTGGTTATCTGTTTTAAATATAGCAGTGTGTACATGTCAATCCCAAACTCCCAATCTAACACTTCCCGCCCACCCTACCCCCCTTGGTAAGCATAAGTTCCTTCTCTAGACTTATTTTTCTAGTATTTATTTATGGAGGACTCATTCTCCTTCCCCCTCTTATTCTGAGTTTTCCGGCTCTGTTTCTGAGGTATTGCCTGCCTATAGTACACCACTTCACTAGCTCCCATATTCTTCTCAAACTCCCTTCCTGGCATCTCGGACAAGGTCTCTCAATACTGTTAGGGAAAACCAAGAATGTCTGCTTTGATACTAGCTTTTGCCAGATGAGTCAATTCTTCCTAAGCCCAGGGACATTCAGGAGTCCCACGGGCACAGGGAGAGACAGCAAACTGACAAAGGACCAGTGCCCTTTCCTCTTTGCCCCTTAAGAAGATCTGAGCTGAGGATGCGTCACCATCTCCAAACAGCATGCTTCACTTAGAAACAAAGATCACTCTGGTTTTGAAAGGGCAGCCCCTGGGACGCAGCTTCTGCAGGTAAGTGAGGCGACTGCTACAGTGTTCCAGGCACCAGTTATAAGAGCTTTGAGATTGCCATGAACCATAGATTTATCTGCTCTTTCTAAGACAACTTACTTAACTTTTGAGAAATAAAGCAAATGTGGTTTCTCTAACAAAGTCTGGATTTTTGACAGCTAGTTCTCAGATCTTTCTTCTTCAAACAGATATCCAGTAAGTCCAGACTCAGTGCCTAATAACTGCTTCAAAAGGTTCTAATCCAAATCAAGGTAGATGATGGTGCACACAGGCTTGCTCTCATTAACTCTTACTTCTACCAGAAACGAAGCAGCCACTCTGCTAAATGATACCTGCTGTTATTATTTTGTGAAATCTTGCCAGCTCCCTGAGAGTTTTGAGTGGTGTTTTCTTTTTTTCTTGCTTTTTAATGCCTACCCATTGAACTGTCTTTCCTAATGCACCTCACATAGCCTTTCATCAAGCAAAAAATGCCAGTTCGTGACAAGAGCAGAATAAATGCAGCCGTCTGCCCTCCCCCAACACTTTCTGACTTTTCTCAAAGTTATTCTACAGGCACCAATACCTCCCACTCCAAAGTCACAGCAAGCCATTAACGACCCTTATTAGGAAGACTCCTTCTCAGGTCACGCAGTCACTGTGACTTAATACCTGTCATCCCCAGATCTACTGTGTGTGACAGGTGTAGAGAGCAGACACAGGAGCAACCTTGAGCATAACCGCTAGGCCCCCAAATAGGGCTGCACCGTTCTCACTCCAGTGCTCCAGCTGGCACCCGGCCCCCCACATTCCAGCCCCTGCCCCGGCCGCCCTGCGGAGAAGCCCCTCTCGGCGCAGCTCACCTGTTTGTAGGCATCGAGAAGGAAGCTCTTCCAGATGCAGCGCATCCCCTCTGAGGTCAGCATGCGCCTCCACTCCCCGCGAGTGGACTTGGAGCGGCTCAGCAACAGCACCACGTGCTTGAGGAGAACGACCGAGTCATAGAGCGCCAGGAAGAGGCAGTTGGAGAAAAAAACTGGCAGAATCTGCAGTGTGATCAGCAAGTCTACGCTGAGGATGCCCATCTTCTCTGCCTCCTGGGTCAGTTGCCTTGTGCGCTCTGGTTCCCCTTCACCCTCTTATTTAAAAGGGGGGTGGTGATTGAGGGGGTGGGGGAGGGGAGGGGGGAGGTTGGGGGTGGGGGGAGAGGGAGAAAAACTAAATTAAAAGGAAGCCCAAGTTGTCTCCTTTTTCAAAGAAGCAGAAATGGCAAGACCAAGTCCAGTCTCTCCAGCCCAGCAGTTGGAGTGTGCCCATCAATTCATTCAATTCGGAGCTGCTGCTTTTTTTTTTTTTTCAGGATTTAAGATGTTAAAAAAAAAAAACAAAACTGGCGTACCCGTCCCTAATCCAGTTACCCCTCTCAGAGTCGGTTAAAGACAGGCAGTTCTACTTTCATTTCCAAGCACCTATGAGACTGTGGCAGAGATTGCAAAATTTTCTTTAGCTTTTCATTGTCTCTATGTTCAGAAACGTAGCCTGTTTCTTTCTAGAATTGCCAGAGTTTTTAAAATGTGCTTTAAGGGTAGTTTTTTCCCTTCTTTACTCCGTTTACACACACTTTCTGTTCTCCTTCTCCCAGCCTGTCTCACTCTCTCCCTTCCTCAGGAGCGACTGACTGACTTCTCTCTTTTTCCTCACTCCCTCTGGCTTTTCCTTCGTGCTATCTGTCTGTGGTGCAAAGTGCCTCTCTCTGCAGCCCAGTGAGTCTCCCTGAAGCCTTTTATACATTCCCTGGCTAATTGCTGCAATAGAGAAATGAAAGCCTAATCTTGGTAAAGATCTTGACGTCATTGAGAAAGAGGGCTTTACTTTGGCCAGGACTGCAGTGAATAGAAAAGCAAAACTCGGCAACTTTTTTTTTTTTTTTTTTTTTAGGAGGTGGGGTGGGGGGCAGAGGGACAGTGGAATTTTGCTTTGTGATTTAAAGAGAGAGAGGGAAAAATATTAATACCTTTGAGGGTTTTCAGGAAATGCTCCCAAACTTTGGGGAAAGTTACTTAATACAATGTGTAGATTGACAGGGAAACTCTCTCTCCTCTGATTATTATTATTGTTATTGTTTATTTATAAGGGGTTTGGGAAAGAAAGGATCCTGCAAGGCGAGTAGAAAAGAGGAAGATTAATCATAGATGGTCTCTGTTCTATTTCTTGGAAGATGTGAATGCTTACCTTCCATCTTTACACCTATATACTATGACTGTCTCCCGTCAGATTTGTGACCTAAGCTCTTTAAATATTTTTGAGTCATAACCTTATTTAAGAAAATCCAAAGTGAATTGTGAAGTGGAAAACTTTTAAACTCTTTGAGTACCACCACAGCACTTTTCTAAAGCTTCTTGTTGAAAATTAGTACAAGTTTTCTTTTTAGTTTTACTGAAGCTTCCAATGAAAAAAAGAAAAAAAAGAAAATCTTCTAGACATGAAAGTAGCTGGGTGACCAGACCTTCTTTTAGTTCCATTTTGCCTATATGCAGATTACATAAAATTTTTATTAAGTGGCATTAAGCATAAGGATAAGAAATAAATTCTTTATAAGAGAACTCTTTAATTTCTGCAATTGCCCTGCTTCTGTTAACCTAGCCCCTAAGAGACCTGACACTTTAATGAACCTTCTTTTTGCTTGAAAAAAAAAATGTAATTAAATTTGTAGGTGGTTAAGAGCAGACTTTGAATTGGCTCAAGAGTCACACTGACCATTGCTCAGTGGCTTGCCTCTCCCACTAGCCTCCAAAACTGACAGGTACTTAGGCAGACAATGCTTTGGCAGAATGCCACGGCCCCCATCCCGTTCTAGTTTTCCTTCCTCACTTACCTAACAGATCACCTCTAGGAATTATGTTTTCTTGGAAGAAGGAGTGGCAAGTACAGACATTGGGGTGGAGATATAGAATGTAAATTGAAAATTAATTGGCTGACTTCTTCGTGTTCACGGAGCTCTCATTAAGCATGAGTTAAGCAGTGGGTGCAAATATATGGTCAGTACATTTCTGTGTTTTGTCCCTGTGGTTAAAACCTGCAAGATCAGAGAACTAATTTAAAAGCCTAGAGTAGGGGTCATTAACTGGTGGGCCCATGGGCCAAATTCTGCATGCATATGCATTTTATTTGCTTGGCACAGTGCTTTTTGCCTTTAATAAAATAATTGAATGAGAGTGCCTTTCGGTTCCGAGAGACCAGAGTTTCCTGTCGGCTTTGTTCGCTGCTATCTCTCAGCAGTTAGAACCATGCCTGGCATGTAGTAAGTGCAAGGAAGGTGTCCTGAATGGATAAATGGGCCAGGCATGCATTGCTCCACACCAGGGGCACCATTCACATACCATATGTTGTGACCATGACTGGGGTACCCCAGAATTGTGTGCATCCTGGTGGACTTGGGTGTGGCCCTCCCCACTGACACAACCCTCACCATTCCCTATTGTCCTAAAAACCTGATTCCTTCATTTTTATCATCAGTTTAGCCCATGACAAGTTTTGGATTTGCATCCCATGGACTAAATTTTTAGAGAAGACTTCAAAGCCTAGAAAAATGAACATAAACCACATAGAAAAATATTTTTCCTATGACTAGCATACATTGTTAGCAAAGGATATTATTTGTATACATAATATATATTTACTCCATTCATTCTCTCAATCTTCTCCTTGTGGGAAAAAAAAAAGGACAAAAAAGGGAGGTGGCAACATGGTATTTTAACTGGTATAGATGGGAAAGCTACGGTGCCAGACGGAGTGCCAGCCAACAACGACAGAAGAAGGTGTGGACTCAGGAAATGACACTTCCACTCACCGCCCAAGCCTTAAAATCTCACCCCTTCTCAGACATTCATTTTGCCCTGTTTGAATTAAACCAGTGCTCCTTTAAGGTAGAGATTTCTTGGCAGCTATAAACCAATACTCCCTCACTTGTCATTTGCTTTCAATGAGAGGCGTATGTTTGGAAATGGCAAGACAAGGAGGAGGATTGGTAGAGAATCAGAAAAAATGCCTTCTTTTTAAATGCAAAGTTCAAGGCACGTGCAGACTACAAATGGTTATAAATCAAAATTTTTTTCTTTTTACAAAGTCAGAAGTGTTTGAGAGGTTTTTTTTTTTAAAAAAAGAACAAATTGGCAGATAGCCAATCTGATTGTGACATTTCTCAGATTTCTTCTGTCATTTTCTTTAAATGAATGAATAAATAAATCACAAAACCGAGAGCCTTTCTTTTACTTGTTAGACAGCCTGTCCAATCTAGAAATTACATTTCTCCAAAGCTATTTCTCTTTTTATACATGATTCACAACTGCTTGTTCTAATTATTAATAATATTTAGCACTTTATAGCACTTTGATCTTCAAGTAATTTTACACCAATTAAGTAACAAAAACAACCCATAAGGTGATAGAGTATGATTTGTCCCATCATGTAAATGAGAGAAAGTAGATCATCAAGGTTGTAAAGTCAGAGCTGGTGTTGGGATATTTTTCCCAACTCTAAACCTCAATGCTTTTCCTATATGACTATTTTATTGGTCCTGGTCGTAACTCTGAGAATGAAAACCCTTGCCCAAAGGATATCTGGGATTTCACATTCGTTTAATATTGCCCCAATTCAAGCTCCTGGTTCCATTTGAAAGGCTTGGATATCTTCTTGGTCATGTAAGTGTTCTTAGCAATCAACACTGTAACACTGTAATGAGTTAAATGCAAACCAATGTGTGGTATGTTGGTTGAATTTCCCCACACAATGCTGTACACAGGTTTTAAATTCCAAAGAGAGGTAGCCTAGAGAAAAATGCTTTAGGCTTTTTAATAAGAACAGAACCACTGTAAAATTGTTTAATTTTTTTCCCTTTTCATAGTTTGAGAGCAGCATGTCCTACCATAGCGTCCTTCCGTTTGGAAAAATAAGCATATGAGTGATAAGGCTTCCTTTGGTCCACTTTTTGACTCTTAAATTTAGATTAAGAAAATGAAGTTGGATAACCTGAAAGCACACCTGGAGATTTCAAGGATGGAAGCTACCACTACTCTTTCCTTACTGTTACCTGAAGGCAGCAAAGGGCATTCAAGAACACTACGGAATTCATGCTGTGGATTTTCAAGTGGTCTTAGTTTCATAAAATTTTATTCCTTCCAATTCAAGTGATTTGCTAAATATAATTTTTGAATGGAGATTAAATTTTACTTTAATAAAAACTTGTCTAATAAATATATTATAAATCCAATAATGTCTGGTCAGGACAGGTGCATTGATTCTGGGTTTGGAAATATGACTGCCGTACATATAACCCCCTGCCCCCCACCCAAATAGTGCGCCTCTTACCAGAGAAGGAAATCACAAACTGTACAACCTCCCATATCTAGTGACCCCTGACTGTGCTGAGAGTGAGTTATAATGAAGGGTTTACACCACAACTACTGAATCACTCAAAATTCCCTGTGGGCCCATCCATTCTACAAACACAGCCATGTTCCCTGCCCTGTGATGAAAGGAGAAGCTCAATGGATAAAACAGACAACCCCAGAGTAAACTCTGACACACCTTGAGCAAAGCAGCTTAGGGCTGGGGTCGAGAAGGCGGACGCTCTGGGTGGTATGAGAATTCTATCCCAACAGCCCAGCCGTTCTTAGGTCCCTTTGCAAGCCCTGGCAGAGAGCGCGGTCTGAGGTGTTAATGCATTCTTCCCTCAGGAACTGCTGCTGCTCTTTTTTCTTCCAGGCCACCTACTGGCAAAACAGAGAAGGAAAAGAAAAGGAAAAACACAGGAGGAGGGGAAAGCAGAAATGGAGAGAAGGAAGATGAGGAGGGTGGAGAGGAGAAAGAGGAATGTAGAAAAAAGGAGGAGATTCGATGAATTGCCTGCAGAGGCTGCCAGCCAGAGAGCCAATTAATGCCAATTGTGGCAATGCTTTTTGTGAGGAAGACAGCTGTCCAGAAACTGGATGGATGCCAGCACCGCATTTCACAGTGGCCACTGAACAGCTGTTAAGAGACAACAGCCTTCATTTGCTATTGACCTGATCTAGATCTAAACTGATGGCCAGTCCCCAACCCACCTGGTCAAACCTCTTTAGGTGCTATGAGGCTCTCTGAGTGTTAGTTTTGAGACTAGTTTATTAACCTCTAGAGACAGCAGGGTTGGATGGAGGGTAGTGGAATAGATGAGAAGAACACTCTGTGAAGTTATACATGGTGAATTCCTTCAGGACAAAAAGCCCTCAGAAGGAACAAATTGAACTCACCCTCTCTTTTCCAAAAATTTGACTCAACATCCTCATTCTCCCTAAATCCTTGACCCAATGCAATAGACCAAAAGAAACAAGGGAACATAATCAAAATCAGTCATCATTTTTGGAACAACTTTTCCTCTACTTTGTTTCATTCCACAGCTCATAGGAAACCACCAGATGATATTAAGTTTTAAAATAAAGTAGGTCATACTTTATAAATGGTTTTATAGTAGCTTTTAAAAAAAATCCCTTATATATCACCACACTCATACGCTGAGTACATGAACACAGAACACGACAAAATGTATTAACATACACACCAGTTCATGCCATTCCAGAAGTAATAATGTAGCTTGTTCCCACTGAGAGCAAAGGATGCCACACCACCTCTCTTAAGAATCAGTAGATACTAATGCACAGAGGAAATATTCTATTCCAAGCTCAGTGGAGATGGTGAAGCTAATAGAATTAACTGTAGCATGAAAAATCCATGTTTGATATGGGGGTAAGATACCTTCAATGAGGATGATTGTACAATGAGATATGCTACCAAGGGAGGTTATGGAAATGTTATCAGTGGACCTATTCTCAAGGTAAAGAGGGAAGCCCATAAGATAATCTCTCAAAACCTTTCAAGCCTCTGGTGCTATTAAGGTAATAGTTAAGAATAAGTTAATATATAACACATACATAAAACCGTCCAACTGGGCTAATGGCAGAATACCATAATCATAAATTATTGCTCCATGCCCATTTCAATTTTGAAGACTAATTTTTTGTACAATTAAGTGAAGCCTTATGCTTTTCTAAGGGAGAGTAGATGAAATGAGAAGACAACTCCTTAGATGTCTTCTAAGGAGAAAATATAAGACGTGAAATTCAAATCTATTTTTAAAATTCAGCCTCATTTATTAGATGGACCCTGGTATCTTTTATCAAGACACAACTACTTAGCTAAATGATTATTTAAAAAATAGATGTATACAAATTCCTGAATAGTCTTATTTTGTTTTCTGAAGGGAATTTTCTATCATGTTTTGAGGACTCAACATCTGCCTTCCCAAAATAGAAACAGTACTCTTTATGATTGTTGTATTAGTAATGAGCTAAATGATACACAAATCTAAGACCTCAAATTCCTCAGAGCATAATCTCTATTGCTTCCTGGTAAATGTTAAATAACACCAGCTTACTCAAAAATTGGCATTCACCTCCTATCAAGAGATGTCTTATTCTGACAATCATCTGACTCAATCTATTTCTGGGGCCATACAGGTCCATATGACCAAAAGCAAACCCCTGAACTGATTTCTCTACCTATAAAATGGAGCTAAAGATGTCTTCCCACATTTATCTCAGGTTGGTGGCTGAGATAGTCATAACATAGAAATGCTTTTAAGAAACTTAGTCTTTTTAAAAAAATGCTCAAAATAAAAAGCAATCTTGGATGATGTTTATTCAGACCTGCCAATGTCAATAGATTCCCTCTAATAAAAACTTCTTTGGATAAAAAAAGTTCCTGGCAGGTCAGATCTGATTTTAGTATTAATTACCTACCTGCTCTACCTGACTTTAAGGAAATTTTGGTTACTTAGTGGAAAACAGGAAAGATTACCTGTAATTGGGGATGTTAGAAATGGGCAAGTTTTGCCTAAAGAATGATAATAATCAACCTGAATCTTTGCCCAAACTCAAAGCTGAACTGAACCTGCTCGAGAGCCCTCTAGAAAAGCATGAACTTAACGATAAATTATTCACCACGTCACACTCCTGCACCTTCCATGATTCTAGGGAGAACAGAAAGAAAAGCTGCCCAAATACTTCTGATCCTAGAAAACAATTGTCCTCCTAAGTTTCCTGGACCAGAATTGCATAGATAAATGTTCAATAACAAAGGAGGAAAACCACTGACATTTTAGTGGATAATGTGCTTGTCAAATTGAAGGCTTAACAAAAGTCAATGGCTGCCAATATGCGTGGTACTATTTTGTTTTATTCATCCTACACAGAAACATGTCCCTCCTATCCAGAACTGTGGTCTCAAAAGAGCTATCAAAGCTATTAGTTTTCTTGTGTGACAAAATGACTCTTCCAGAAGGAATTAGTAGGCTTTGCGTGTTGGGAGGAGACAGGAGGCAAAGCAAAAAGATGGAAGACAGAGCTGGATTTAGAATAAATGTAATAAATATTGGGGGGGCAGTGCATAATCAATAGCATTTGATTCCTTGATCACAACAGATGCTAAATATTGGGAAAAACAGAGAAACATAAAGAATGTAGAGGTTCAAGGAAAGGATGTGAAATTGGAAGTCAGTGGGCAAAATACTTTGTTTTTCTATATGCAGCCCCCAGCGAAAGGATATGGGAAATGGGAGAAAGGGGATAGGAAAAAGTCAAAGACATTTGCTTACCTTGTGAAATTAGCTCAAGTTCACTCAAATGGTTAGCCACGATGACATTTATTCAGTTAGCCATCCTCTTAAAACAGACATTTACTGAAACCTACAAAGAGCTAGTCATTGTACTGGGCATTGAAAAGGATCCCTGCGTCTCAATCAAATTCAGAGCCAGTAGGGGGAGACAGATATGTAAACCAAAGACGGCAACTCAACATTCTAGGGGCTATAATAGAATTGCAGCATACAGTATGGTATAAAGGAAAAATTAGCCAATTCTATGTGGGATAAGAGTCAAGGAAGAGTTAATGAAGAATATACACAGGCCCCACTAAATATAGTTCTGCAAAATCTAATTTAGAGATGTGGCCTTTGTTAATGGAACAAGCTTTAAACAATGTTTTCATATACATCCATGTTTGTAATATTTTATCATTAATCTCTACTAGAGGGACTTACATAGTATTTTTTGACTCTGAAACATAAGTTGTTTAGGAATCAGTAACCTTCTCTTGATAAACAATAAAGCTGTTATAGCTACACATAATGAAAAAAGTTTGCTTAGAACTTTGTTTTGACGGATCCTATCAGTAACAAAAAGAAACAGGGACCTGGGTATATCCTTTGATTTTCAATTGACAGGAAGTTACTATGTACAAGTTCAATCTTAACATCTTAATGTTATGGATATACCATGGAAGCTGGGAAGGACTTCTTGGCAGTGCTGTTCACGTCTAGTTAAAGAATACCTCAGTGACAGGCATAGCAGTGACCAGAACAATTCCAGTTCTCCATGACCACACTTACATGATTTCAAGGCATTCATTTCATTTTTAGGTTCTCCAGGTACCTCACCAGGGAAGCTAATAAAGCACATTAAGCTTCCAAATTAGTGACTATTGAACAATGTAGGCTTTAAACTGCTACAGGGAAAAATGGGTCCAGAAACTTAGAATGACTTTAATCCAAATTTTCAGTCTTTCTGTTCTTTTCAGTCTATAGCTTAGAGTACCTCTCTTGATTCTTTATTTGTGATTTTTATTACCTTTGACCTCTCATGACAAATCACCCTGACAATGTACAGAAAGCAGGGTTAGAAACACTGAGGATGTTTACTCGCTGGGAAAATTTATGAGCTAGTTCAAGAATGATGTGGAAATCAAGATTTTATGGAAATAGGTATATTTGTGAAATGCAGAACCTCTGGTATAGGTGCACAATGGACATTCTTATTTCCATATTTAGAGTATAAACTCCTCCTAGGAAATAGTTAAATCCTGGGATTTGAAAACAGTGTTTATTATGGGAAAATTCAAACACATGTAAATGTAGAGTGATGAGAATAAGGAACCCTCATGTACCCATCAGCCAGCTTCAACAAATATGAACTCATGACCAATCTTGTTTCATTTCCACCCACTTTCCTGCTTCCCATGTAATTATGAAGGACATTCCAGTCAAGATTTTTGATTCTCCCAAAACATCTACAATGTTTTTT